GAATTTGTTCATGTGCTAAGAGGTTCTCTGTATGTAATCAATTTCCATGTCCCTTTTATTGATTCTCTCTAAGGAACCATCTGTTTGTAGTAATGATTGCCATGATTAGATGTGGGTTTACTTTGGGAATATAAAAAATTAAAGATTATTACCTTATACTAACAAAATATTTCTTTCTCTACAGTCCTTTGGGTTTGTTTGTTTGTTGAGGGTTTTTTTTCTTTTTTCAAGACTGAGTCTTGCTCTGTTGCCTGGGCTAGAGTGCTGTGGGGTCAGCCTAGCTCACTGCAACCTCAAACTCCTGGGCTCAAGTGATCCTCCTGACTCAGCCTTCCAGGGTACTAGGAAAACACAAAAGTACAGTAGATGGTACTAGGATTATGGGCTTGATTCACCACACCTGGCCTCTACATTCCTTTGTAATTCACAAAGTACTTTTACATACAGTATTTCACTCATGTGTCATGATCATGGTAAATGGCTTGTTCAAGGTGATAGAAGTAGTAAGTTATAGGACTCAAGACTTTAATTGAGGCTTCTTGATTCTATGGGTCTTCATTCTTATAATAGGTAAAATCTTGGCTAAAGAAAATTTAGTTTATTGAAATCCTATACTTTATACAGTTACTGCTCTTCATAACTGAAAGATAGAGGTAACTTCAAATAATCTACCAAATTAGCACTGGGGCTTCAAACATATTTAATCTCAACTTCATTATTATTTTTATGAAAGCAGAACCCTCCTCCTGTGCCCAGTTATTTTGAATGCAGGGTTGGAAAACTTTACTTATAGAAGGCTAGATAGTAAATATTAGACTCTGCACACTGTATAGTCTCTATTGTAACTATTCAACATTGCTGTTGTAGAGTGAAAGCAGCCATAAATAATATGTAAATGAATGAGCATGGCTGGATTCCAATAAAACTTTATTTATAAACACTAAAATTGGAATATTATATAATTTCCATGTGTCACGAAATACTCTTCTTTTGATTTTTTAAACTATTTAAAAATGTAAAACCATTCTTAGCTCACAGGCCATTTCAAAACGTAGCAGGCTGGACTTGACCTATGGGTCCGTTTGCCAACCCCTGTTTTAGGGAGGAAAAAGACGGAATTCATTCTTGGCCAGAGTAGTGAGGCAGGAAGATTGATGGGCTTATGCACTAGTTGATGATTCTGTGGTTAAAACTGAGGTGGCTAGTTACTCCCAATAATGTCTTTTTGTCTTCACATGTTTCATTCTGTTTACTCAAAAGTTGGTGACTTTGCTTCATTTCCATATCTCCTATTGAGAAATCTTATAACTAGTGATCATGTGGTGTCAACAAATTATAGCGATATATTCATTCAGTGTGGCCAAAAAGATGTTTTGGTTTGTTCTGTGTCCTGTGTTCAAATCATGTCCTGTGGTTTTTCCTTATGTGCAGTTCAACTCTGCATGAACTGGTGTATGTCTCCCACAGATTGGAGCCAAGACCTAAATAGTCAACATTTATAAAATTGCATACTTGTTATTAATAGGTGAGGAGACAGCTAGAAATTCTGTTCCTGCCCTCTGGAATTTAAGAAGGACAAAAGTTAAGCTCTTTATACCCTAATAAGTAAATGCCATTGTGTCCCTGAATGCACATGCTTTTACAGATTGTCAAAGACTGTGGCTTCTAGTTTGCATTCTACCACCAAATAGCATCCAGAAGATGAGATTTTTAAAAGCTCTTAATTCCCACTGTAACCAATCCATTCCCAAGAGATTTCGGAGCCTTCTCTTCTGACATAGCTAAACTTCACTGTGTGAACAATCTCTCTCAGAGAACTTCTGGCATTTTGCTTTTAGGAACTGGGAGTGGCAAGGACCAATTTAAATATGCAGAACCTCAGAAGTTTGGTTTCAGTTTAGTCATTTCAAAGAGGCAGCTCCTCTGGCCTGCTTGTGCTCACAAGCAGGAGACTTATTTGAACATTAATTCTGGGTTGCTCCCTTCCTGTTGTTTTTAGTCTTATTTTAGCCTTCTGGTTTTACCTCTTTCCCTTGAGTCAATAGAGGTGGGTGTGGCCATAAATTCAGGATGCTGGATTCTAAAGATGGGTTGGACTTCTGCCTTCACCTTTCTCTACCCTCATCACAGACCTCCTGACCAGCTTGTAGCCATATACAAACCAGTGACAGACAGACAAGGCATGGAAGAGGCAAAGCATTGCTTTCAGAGGAATTTGTCTAGGCTATGGAGGCTTGGGATGCTTGGATACAAACCCAAGTGTTAATAACATCCTACTTTGTATAATGACAGACTTATGCCTAGCTTCTACCTAATTTTTTTTTTTCTTAAAGTAAGTGTGATTATGTTGAACCTAAATGGAATGCCAAAAAAAAAAAAACAATAAATGAGTTTTGTTTAAAGAATGAGTGCACTAAATATAAATAACAGAATAAAAAATTCAGAAGTTAACACCAAAGTTGCTATAGTTTTGCTAAAGGGGTAAGTTCACTCTTTATAATTGGTTGTCCCATATATTCCATATGTCATAAGTTTTAATAATGCACTTAAGTTGTTATTTTTACCAGTATTCTTCAATAACATAAAACCTTTTCAGAAAAAAATAGCTTTAGTAAAATTGTGACAGACACTCTTTTAAAATGTTGGGATTCCTTAGCTAATAATGTAAGGGACTCGTGTTCCATATTATCTAAGGTTCCTTTCAACTCAGACTTTGTTTCTACAAATTGATTATTTTTTTATTACTCAAAACTCATATATCAAATGCTGACTATTTTTATAGACAAGTTTAGAGAACCGTTAAGATAATTACTTTTGATATAAAGGAATAGGCTAAATCTTGATTTGCTCCAACCAGTTTAGCCAGACTTGCTGGCAGAATAATGGCTGATAAGTTTATATCTGCTAGAGTCTTTCTGCATTCAGCAAAAAAGTGCACTGTGTCCAGTTAGTAAATGATGCAATGATAGGGAGATGGTGACTTTTTTTTTCCTACTTTTTTTCTACTTCTGATTTTTCTCTAATCATGTGAGGAAACTCCAGGTATAACTCATCTGGCCTTTACCCACTGTCTTATTTCTTATTTTTTAAGAGAAGAGGAATACCTTAATCCAAGTAGTGAGTATGGAAGGAGTAATGGGAAGCCCAGCTCTTTCCCTCTTCTAGGAGTGGGCTACCCCCCAGGAGCCTGCAGCAGCCATGCCTTTTGAAGGGGCACACACTGCATCTGCAGGAGGAGGCTAGTTCCACTTACAGCCTGTCTGGGACTCAGTCCGGTCTCTAAAACAGGGGAACAGAATTATAAAGCCCACTCTGTGCAGATATAAACCCTATTCTTCATATCAGCTTTATAAATTTACAGGTGATAGTTTGGTTTTGTATCTGCTTTATTCTTCTGTTTAATTTTTCAATTGACTCAGAAATAAGGCTGGAAAGAAAAGTACTAATTATAACACTGCCTCACTTTGGCCTCCAATACAAATGTCTATTAGGGGTGCACCGGTATCAACTACCTCTAATAATTTTCTTGAAGTTGTATTTTGTTTGGATTCAGAATTGCTTTTTTTCTTGGCCCATTGTTTTTAAAAGCAATAATTGGCATTCCTAGAATAGCTTAAAGTGATTTACATCTACTAGATGAACACTTCTTTAAATATCTTTAAAAGTCTTTAAAGCTAGTTCCCTTTGTGAAGTCATTTGTTAAACCCAGGCCATATGGACATCTTGCTTCAGAACTATATCATCATCTGTAGGAGAATTGCTCTGCTGTCTTTTATTCACCATATTAAGAATATGTGGTATATGTATGTATACCTTGGAGTACTGTTCAGCTGTAAAAGAAATGGTGAATTAATATCTCTTGTATTAACATGGATGGAACTGGAGACCATTCTTCTAAGTGAAGTATCACAAGAATGGAAAAAGCACCACATATACTCACCATTAAATTGAACTAATCCATCAATACTTATATGCACATATGGAAATAACACTCATCAGACATCAAGCAGGTGGGAGAGGGAGGCGCAAATTCACACCTGACAGGTACAATGCACACTATCTGGGTGATGGGCACACTTATAACTTTGACTCAAATGGTACGAAATGTAACGAAAAAATTTGTACCCCTATAATATTCTGAAATTTAAAAAATGAAATAAAATAGGAGGAAAACCACTGTTAAATACATCTCTCTTTCAAAAATTTCAGAGGATTTTCTTGTCATTCAGACCTGAGAGACAATTGCCTAAAAGCCTTATTTAAGGCAACTGGGAAAAAGACGTCTAGAGTGCTCAAATGTTCCAGTTTGTCAGGGGTGTTACCAGGGACATGCAACTTTCATTGCCAAAACTGGGGACAACCATGGCAAACTGGGACATGCTGGTCATCCTACAAGTCATTCCCAACACATCACTTCAGCTGTTCTACCCAGCAATGTCATTAACTTAACCACTTCGGTACCAGCGTCGACTATAGTCGACAGTCACAGATGAATGCGCGCGTTGACTTTAGCCAACAGCCGTTATATGACTTTTCTAATTTTTCATTTATCAAAATAAAATTGTGAACATTTAAAAATAACGTAATGAAAACATATATGTATATGTTACCTATTCTGATTTACATTACAAGGAAAGCTGCCTGTAAAGTAAAACAAGCTTTCAGTACTTTAAAGCTTTCTTCATTACACAAGAGAAAAATGGATTTGTCGTCAATGCACAGCACAAATTACCATGCAGACTATGAGTGCCGGCTGTGGGCAAGGTTTCACAGCCAGTGAGCGCCATACCAAAGTGGTTAAATATAAAGCATGCTGAAAAATAAGCTCTTTGTATTGGCCACGATATAACGAGCCCTCTTTCATTCCCTGTGACACTTGCTGACTGAGACCTCCTGACAATAAAGATGTGGGCATAGTATGTGGGCCCAGTTCTGATTATATGCAGTGTACTCACAGTTCTACCTTCTCTTTAACTCATTTTCTACTTTCTTCTTTGCAGGTTTGTGATTCAGATACCATGCTTGACCCTGCCTCATCTGTGGAGATGGTAAAAGTTTTAGAAGAAGACCCCATGGTTGGAGGTGTTGGGGGAGATGTCCAGGTACATATGGCTTCGTCTTTTGTATGAGACACTTTTAATAGCACTCTGACTCATTGATTCCTTGAACATACATTTATCACATACTGACTTTGTGCCAGGTATTATTCTTGGTATTAGAGACATATTAGAATGTGCCTTGGACCCACTTCACTGCCTCTTTTCCTATTAAAAATTGAAATACTTTAGGATTTCCTTGCTTAGTACTGGGGTATAACCCATGTCTGTAGTGGATGCAATGATTTCTACCATATATACTTGGGCCACAACTTAATATTTCATATTCTGCTAAACTCTGCTAAATGTTGGGGTTTATTTACTTACAAGGGTAAAGAAACAGAACTATGGTAGGGAATGGATTATACATCTTATACCTATACACTTAAATATTGGTTAATATGTGGTTGATCAAGAATCCAAACTGGAAAATAGGAAGAAAAAAGAAAACTGGAAGAAAAAAGAAAACAACAACTCAAATTTATACTAGTGAGAAAGATAAAGAAATAATAAGTGGACTTTCCAGTATGACCCATCATTTGCTATTGATGGGAAACAAATATTAATGAAGTTAGTTTGATGTTTGTGGGATGGAAAAATGAATGTGTGAAAATATGTAAACATAAAAATGAGTCCCTTGAAACATGAGATCAGATTTTAGCAAAAGGTGAGAAGCACATGGAAAATTGATTTTAAAATTTTGATATTTGTTGTTGTATGACCCATTTTATATATGCAGGTTGATTATAAAGGCAAAGAAATTGCATTAGAAGCAACAAAAAGTAGCCTGGTGCTAAAAAAGAAAGCATGCAAAATCCAGATAAAAACTGAACAAAGTTGAGATAGAGGAGAGAATTTAGGAATAGTACCAAGAAAAAAACCCTTAAATTTCAGTAGCCTTTATATAAAGCATTGTTTTAGGATTCAAATTTTTCCAGGAGATAAGAGCAAACTCTTTTATCACTGGCATTATGAAAAAGTGTAGAGAAGAGAGAAGGAAAATTAACAGGCAAGGATTGGATGATTTGGAAATTAACCAGAATAGAAGGGACTAGAACTTAAAAATTTTCAAATCTTAGATGGAGGAAAGAGTGCCTGGGAGAAGAATTTGGGGACTGAGAGCTAACCCTAAAAACCTCAATCTTATAACACAAAAATAAGAACAAGAATAAAAATCATAGCAAAAAGAGGACAGAGAATGATGAAGTAGAAAAAAAAAATCTACTCACCATCAAAGAATACCAACATATGCACACAACTTAAATCAACCTAGTAACATAGAATCAGAGAAAACACAACATAATCATGTAAAAAGAGGAAAGAAGCCAAAATAGGAGGATAAAATAACAGAGTCACTTAGGTAGTAACCTCAGGATGGTGCAGGCTTTGTTGGTATTTTTATCTAAAGCTTACCTTTTGTATTTTCCTTCTTGCAGATTTTAAATAAGTACGATTCCTGGATCTCCTTCCTCAGCAGTGTGCGATACTGGATGGCTTTTAACATAGAAAGGGCCTGTCAGTCTTATTTTGGTTGTGTCCAGTGCATTAGTGGACCTCTGGGAATGTACAGAAACTCCTTGCTGCATGAGTTTGTGGAAGACTGGTATAATCAGGAATTTATGGGCAACCAATGTAGTTTTGGTGATGACAGGCATCTAACAAACCGGGTGCTGAGTCTGGGCTATGCAACAAAATACACCGCTCGATCCAAGTGCCTTACTGAAACACCTATAGAGTATCTCAGATGGCTAAACCAGCAGACCCGTTGGAGCAAGTCGTACTTCCGAGAGTGGCTGTACAATGCGATGTGGTTTCACAAACATCACTTGTGGATGACCTACGAGGCGGTGATCACTGGGTTCTTTCCTTTCTTCCTCATTGCCACAGTAATCCAGCTCTTCTACCGAGGTAAAATCTGGAACATCCTCCTCTTCTTGTTAACTGTCCAGCTAGTAGGTCTCATCAAATCGTCTTTTGCCAGCTGCCTTAGAGGAAATATCGTCATGGTCTTCATGTCTCTCTACTCAGTGTTATACATGTCCAGTTTACTTCCCGCCAAGATGTTTGCCATCGCAACCATAAACAAAGCTGGGTGGGGCACATCAGGAAGGAAAACCATTGTTGTTAATTTCATAGGACTCATCCCAGTGTCCGTTTGGTTTACAATCCTCCTGGGTGGTGTGATTTTCACCATTTACAAGGAATCCAAAAAGCCATTTTCAGAGTCCAAACAGACAGTTCTAATTGTTGGAACGTTGCTCTATGCATGCTATTGGGTCATGCTTTTGACGCTGTATGTGGTTCTCATCAATAAGTGTGGCAGGCGGAAGAAGGGACAACAGTATGACATGGTGCTTGATGTGTGATCTCACACGGTTTGACGTTTGCAGTCACATACGCCACCTTAGTTCCTCTAGGGGCTGTACAGTATTGTGGCATCAGATAATGCCACCAAAGGAGACATATCACTGCTGCTGGGACTTGAACAAAGACATTTCTATGGGTTTATTTTCATTCTGCCAAAGTAAAACAATACATCAACAAGAAGAATCTCAGATTTAACCTGTTATTTCTATGAAAATGGGATGAATTCTTTGTTTATGCACTTTTTTCTTACTGTGCATCCACCTGAAAGTGTTTTGTCCTATATACCTCACTAGCCATGCTTTATGTGGGTTATCATGGAAGAAAAAGATTTTGGAAACTCAAGGAAAAGTTCTTTCATCCTATACAACCTAACTTATGGACTGTTTTGATGATTTTTTTTTTAGGAAGGATTTTCTTTTTAACTTTACCAAATGAAATGCCAAAGGAAATTTAAAGGCTGTTGGCTGTGCTGTATTTTGATATAATTGTACTGTGTTTTTAAATTTTGTATGCCAATTTTTAAGACAAATTTTACATATTTCTATATTTTACTTCTCTGCCAAAATACACCTGTTCCTCCTCTTTTTTTTTAATAAAATAAGTTCTGAAAAAAATTCATACTTAAAAAACCTGCCCAAAATGTGAAGCTTGGTTGACTGATGTTCATGATAGAAAGAATAAAATGTTTCTCTCTCTCTCTACCTTTTAAAATTGAATAGTTTATTTCTGTGAAAAAAGTATTTAAACTTTCAATATTTTAACTTTTTTTTTCCATTTCGGTTAGAAAAGGCCAATATACCTGTCACACTTTGGGAGTAAAAACATACTTTCGTGTGTACAAAAGAAAAAAAGTAATTGAAACTCAAGGCCAAAGGGTAGAAAAGTGCAATTTTTTCATAAGATTAAAAAAAGGGGAGTGTCAGTTCTTGAAAGACAAAAGTAGACATCCAGCACTGGACAAACCATGAGTATCAAAGATGAATAATCTTTGGAGATTCTGGCAGTATTTTTCCAGGCCAAGTAAAATGGAAAGTGGAAAATTATCTGTATAATTTGGACAAATATAGTATAGTTCATCAAAGATTTTGTTCTGTGGCCCAAATTTACCAGATCCTATCTGGATATTGAACATGTTTCACCTGTCATATTTTTCAGCTTGCCATTTCATTTTACATGTTGATATGATGTTTACATGGGTAAATTGAATAAATTATAACTCTAAAACATATAGGTTCAAAATTGGCAGATTTATACTGCAAGTATCCTCTTTTACTTTCTAGGGAAGGAGGATATTTTTTTCTGAATTATACAGATTTTTGATTCATCTCTCCTGTTCTTGGCCTATATAAAATTGTCTACACAGTAGAAATTAATATTAAGGTTCAATAAGTATATCAAAAAGTGGCACATATAAAAATAGGTACTCTGAACTTAGCCTCAAGCCTCCAATTTGACTTTTTACACAATTGATCTTGCCTTGTAGCTGGTGCTGTGTAGACTTGTGTTAAAAGCACAATCAAAATACAGGAATAGATGAATAAACAGCATTGCGGTGAAGCAGACACACGTGGAAAAGTGTTAAACTCGTGCTTCCTGCTGTTCTGCTTTTTTATGCAGTCATTTATGTTACACCTATCCTGCCTAAGAAAAAGCTGCACGTTCTACCTTCAGAGTACAAAAAGGTATATCACATTATGAAACTCAGGCTCTCACTGACAGGGGAGCTTGCAGGAAACAAACACACCATGCCAATAAATGAGACTAAAACTTGAGTTTGCCTTTTTAACTATTTATGTTCTAAGTTAAGCTTTGATAACATTCAAATGTCAAATTCTCTCATTCTTATAAAAAGTTGAATTAATTGCCTGTATTTATTTTAGCAATTATTCAATGTATTTCCAGTATAGGATGTATAGTATAATTAATTTTTTTGTAAATAAAATATTTTTGATAAGATTATTGCCTTTTTTTCCTAAGGGAAGGGGGAACTTCGTTTTTCTGATTATAATGGTATGGATTTAAGAATGGGGTTTATCAAAAAAAAAGTCAGGGTTGGTAAAAGATAATATGTCATTTAATGTTACTTATCTTTAGATAGAAATCCCCAAAATTGGTGTGGTTTGGAAATCCAGAAAACCAGAAGGGAAAGAGAGAGAGAGAGGAAAAGAGAGAGACAGGGGACAGGGAGAGAGAGAGAAAGGAGAAAGGGGACAAGAGAAAAATAGAAAGAGAGAGAGGGAGATTATCTCAATTATCGTTTCCCCTGTCTCTGATCTTCACTTTATTCCACTTCCGTTGAAAGCAGCCCAAATTTAGACGAAAGTTTTATCATATGAACTTATAGCAGGAAAAAAAATCACAGATATACATAAAAGTTATAAGCAAGTTTGTTTATATTATAGCATTATTATAGCAAATAACAAAACCTTAAAATAACCTAAAATTGAATAATGAGGGCAATAATTATGTGAATTATGGCACATAAAAGCAATGGAACATGATTAGCTATTGCATACAATGTTCTCAAAGAATATATGAAGATGTTAGAGAAATATATTTTAAAAAATAACCATTTTGTACAGTAACAATTTTATAAAAACAATAATATTTAAATGTAATTATCTCTAATGCTGGGAGTATAATCAATTTATATTCTGTATATATTTCATTTTTTCCAAATACCATGAACATGTGTTGTTTTTAGAATTAGACAAAAGACAATAAATACATATTTTTAAGTGGGTTGGAACATCTAATAGCATTTCCTGATTTGAGGAGCTTTGATGATAATTATCTCATTTTACCTCTGATTCCTCAACTTTATCTTATTTACCAATAATTTTTAATATTTTATATCTAAGAATCCTTCAGTACTTTTATACTGTTATAAACTATAGCCATTGAACATTTTTGCTGTGGTAGACAAGAGAAATGTGAATGGTTCTAGACCCAATAATTTACTGGTAAAGTCACTTGATGGCAACCTTTTAATGTGCAGAGCCATATAGCATACATTTTAGGCTTTGCTGGCCATTTAGGCTGTCATATAAATCCTCCTCAATTCTGCTCTTACAGCATAAAAGCATCTATAGGTAATATGTAAACCAGTGTGTAGCTATGTCCCAATAATGCTGAAATTTGAATTTTATGTAATTTTCACTTGTCAAAAATGTATTCTTTTGCTATTTTTCAACTATTTAAAAAATAAAAAAGGTATTCGTAGTACACCAATGTTATTAAAACAGGCAATGTGCCAGATTTATCCTTCTGATCATAGTTCAATGACTCCTGCTCTTTAGGAATCTGTTGATTTATTTGTACTAATAAGTACTCACACTGACACCTAAGATTTGAGCACACAATATTTGTTAGGTACTTCCAGAAACATGTTTTATAGATCAACTATTTTAGTTACCATATCAGTCCCAAGGAGTTCCATTATTATTGCCATTTTGGAGGCAAGGATGCTGAGGCTTAAAGAAATCTAGCAACTTAAGATCATAAAGCTAGTAAACTATAGTGGTACAGTTTAAGTCTAGGTATTCTGTGATATCAAGCTTACCCCTTAAACTACTGCTACTTAGTGTTTTGTCCATTGTCTAGCAGCATTAGCAACATCTTGGAATTTTTTTAGAAATGCAGATTCATGACCATACCCTGGACTTACTGAATCAAAACTTCTGGGGAATCTGTTTAATAAGATCCCCAGGTGACTGTTACACATATTAATATTTGAGAAACATTGCCCTAATGCAGTATCTTATGTTGTGCACCTTAAACTGATTATCATTTCTAAGATAGCTATTCACTCAAATATTTGTATTCTCATATTAAACTTTTCTATTTTAATTTCATTTAGGGTATTGACAGTTATCTGGTTTTAATTAATCTTATTAATCCCTGTTACGGGCAAGAAATGAAGAGGTGCACATTTTCTCTATACTCAAAGAGCTTACAATTAAATAAGAGGGATATGATAATCACACAAAGATTTGATGTAAAACAGAATTATAGAGGTATAAATAGTGGCATGGGACATAAAAAGAATGAATAAATATGTACAAATAACTCCACAAAGGCATGCTTTAACACAGTGTGGTCTTTGAGTTGATTCTGTAAAGATATACAAATTTGAATGGAAACTAAGGATTTCCCAAGTGGAAGAAACAATACAAGTACAGTGCTAGAGGTATGATTGATTTTAATAATATGTGGTCCTTTGAATAGAATATTTAATTAAGGTGTAGGTTGTATTTGACTAAGAGTTGGGACATAATTACAGAAAGTAAATTTGAAGGTGGATCATAGACGACCACATCCCAACTGGGGGAAATACTAGAAAGAAGTATTTACATTAATTTTGATAGATTATAAGACATGTAGAGTTTGGGAACATGCTAACCTATAAAGTGAAAGACTTTATGATGGTTTGGACTTGAGAAACCAATATGAATAATTATGTTTAGAATTATGATTTGGTCTGAGCATACTCATAATAAACTGGTATTATTCTCCCAGGCACTTGACCATATTCATCACATTCCTTTCTAATCTGCCTCCTGCTTCACACCCTCAGGACATTACCTCCTGCCCATTACCCAAGCACTATCTTTAGCTCTTTTTGTTTAAGAAGCCCATAACCACCTAGTCACTATAGCCATTTGATCCCACCTTTGACAAGTCACTCAAATTCATCTCTCCCCCTTGTTAAGATGTTCTTTATCTCTTACCAAACTATTGAAAGTACCTCCTAACCACCTCTCTACTCCCAATGTCTGCTGTATCTTGTAGATTCTCCATATTTCTGTCAAAATTATTTTTCTGAGGCCTCTTAATAGAAAGGTTTAACTTCATTGTCACCAAGATAAGATCATTAAATATTTAAGACTGTTGCTTATCTCTTTATATCCTTTCTTGTAGTCCTTAACTAGTACTACTTTTCATGGTCCTGCTAGATTGGATTTTTTACTCCCTCTTGAACACACTTTGCCCTTCTCTTTTAATCTTTGTTTGCATTTTGTTCTCAACCTTAAATGATTTTTCACCTCTTCCCCTGTCCCTGTATCTGTCAGAATTATTCAATATTCTTGATTCCACTGGCATCTGCTTCCCCAAATACCTCAACTTAAAGGGATTTCTCTCTCTTCACTCATACAATATTTCATTTTCATCTCTGCCATGCAGTCCAGACTTTCTTCTGCCTTGTTTTGTGAACACTGGGGCACATAATAACAACCTGGTAGACTGAAAGATTTTTCAGGCTTAGTCTATGTCTTCATTTTTTAATCCTCTTTGGTAAATGGCACAGCCAGGTGTCCAATGATATTTGGTGAATAAGCAAATGAATATATGAAGAAATCAGGAAGCATGGATGGACTCAAGCAATTAAACTTCTTTTAGGAAATTTGGTAGCATTCTAGGAATTTGCTCCAGAATAAGCTTTGGGGTATGAAGGCTACACATTTTTTTTTGCTTTGGGCAGTGAGTTGATGCTTTTGTCACCCAAAAAAAGAATACCTCGGCACTGTCTACCAGGTTAAGGCATTCATTCAACAGTTCTTAAGTAGTGATTATGTGCCACACTGCTAAGATTTAAAAAAATTATGCTTTCCTTCAAGGAATTATTATTATTATTTTTTTATTCTTGATAGGGTGTTACTCTGTTGCTGGGTCTATAGTGCAGTGGCATCACCATAGCTCACTGCAACTAAAACTCCTGGTCTCAAGTGATTCCTGCCTCAGCCTCCTGAGTAACTGGGACTATAGGTGCACACCATCATGCCTGGCCAATTTTTCTATTTTTTGTATAGATGAGGTGTTTCTATGTTGCCCAGGCTGGACTTGAATGCCTGGCCTCAAGTGATCCTCCTGCTTTGGCCTCCCAAAGTTGTAGAATTACAGGCATGAGCCACCATGCCCAGCCAAGGAATCTTTTGAGATCCTCTAGTAAGCCATGCTCCTGTCCTCCGGTGGGCATTTCCAGAAGCTCTTCCTGACCCCACTTCCCTCCCACTACTACTTTTGTCTCATGAACTCCTATTCTACCTTTCAGCCTCAGTTCAATCATCACTTCC